ATCCCACAGAGCCCTAGCGCATGTTTTGTTGTTGTTTTCAGTAACACACTTCCCGTCCTAGGATGGCTACACTGTAACTATGGAAGGAACCATGGTTAGCACCCAGGCTCTCTATTTGGATACAAAGAGATCTTCCTCAATTTAACTTAATTACATGGGGAGAGGGAATTGGTATTTTACAGACGATAGTTTTTAACCACTTGCCTACTGGGCACTTTTACCCCCTTCCTGCACAGGCCAATTATCAGTTCTGTTGCATTTTGAATGACAAGTGTCATGCAACACTCTACCCATATGAAATTTTTATCATTTTTTTTCACACAAATAGAGCTTTCTTTTGGTGGTATTTAATTGCCACTGGGTGATTTATTTTTTACGGTATAAACAAAAAAAAAAAGCAACAAATTTGAAAAAAAAAAAGTTTTCTTTGTTTCTATTATAAAATTTAGCAAACGCATAATTTTTCTCCTTCACTGATGAGCGTTTATGAGGTTGCACTGATAGGCAGCACTGATGAGGTGGCACAGATAGGTGGCACTGAAGGGCACAGGTGGGTGGTACTGATGGGTGGCACTGCAGGGCACAGGTGGATGGCACTGATGGGCACAGGTGGGCGGCACTGCCCATCAGTGCCGATCACTTCTCTGACAATTGCCGGTTCTCAGCAGTACTTTCTTCATGCTGTGACAGCGTGAGGAAAGTGCAGTTGATAACTGGCAACTGTATTTACCCGATGATCTGTGTCATTGGACACAGCGACACCAGCGGCGCCAGGTGTGCGCAGGGGGTGTGTTCTGGAATTATGTCCATGGACGTCGTCCCAGAACTAGACAACCGTGCTATAGCCATCTTTCGGCTATAGCGTCGTATTTTCAGTTCATCTGCACTGGCAGGATCAAAAGGTACTTTTTGCACTTGCTGAAAATGTCCTGAAAAAAAAAAAAACAACTCCAGTCACCACATCTAAAATCTCCTCTTAAAGGATAAAATCACCTTTCCTAACATGTTATATCCATATTCAGGGTGTAACATGTTACTTATGCAGCAGCTGCTTCTCCTCACACTTGCTGTCACAATTAAAAAAATGCGGTACGGGCAGACAGCTACACTGGCAGTCTGCAGCAGCCTGAGATTGCACCCGCAATCTACTGATTGTGGGTGCAATGCTCTACAGTAGAGGTCTCCAAACTTTCTTAAAAAAGGGCCAGTTTATTGTCCTTCGGACCTTGAGGGGGCTGGACTGTGGCCAGTGTGAGTACAAATGCCCTGGCATCAATGGGAGTAAACAATGCCCTATCATTGGAATTAGTAGGGGGAATTGCCCATTGTTGTTATCGAGGGTTGGAATTGTGCCCCATCATTGGGGTCAGTGGGCAGAATAGTACTCTGCTACTGATATCAGTGGGAGGAATAGTGCCTCGTCATTGGTGTCAGTGGCAAGAATAGTGTGCCAATGTTGGAGTCAGTGGTAGGAATAGTGTCCTATTTTTGGTATCCTTGACATGAATTATGCCCCACTGTTAGTGTCAGCAGGAGGAATAGTGCCTTCCAGTGGCAGGAATCATGCCCCAAGGGCCCGGATAAAGGCAAGCAAAGGGCCACATCCAGCCCCCGGGCTACAGTTTAGAGACCACTGCTCTACAGGCTCCTAATAAAGAAAATAAATGCTTATTATTTTACCTGCAAAAAGATGTGCACTTGTATAGTTTTTACAAAGGTGAACTTATCCTTTAAAGCATATCCAAACCTCAAGACAAAAATGCAATGTTTTGCATCCTACCAGTCCTTAGGTGTGGTAGCTGCATTATTCATTTTTAGGCTAAGAACATTTTGAGCAAGTACAGAAAATACCTGTGGATCTTGCCAGAAAGCCACTGTCTTTGTCACTTCCTGAAAGCGAAAGAAAAAGCACCAACATACTTATCTTTCTTGTCGTAGCCCTTACTAGTCCTATCAATCCAGCCGTGTAATAGATGAACAAGGGAAGACAAGGGAAGTCCTGTCCAAGTGCCAACCAAGTCTACTACCACAGATACAGCAGAGAAATGGGTGTATCCACAAAGGGACAAGAAGGGTGTTATTCCCAGGATTACCAGGCATTTTCAGCGTTAACATGGAATAATCTTATCATGTATGGAACTGGGCAGGCTGGATTTTCACTGGATATTCTATTAGTTTCTGCTGACAGAACACAGGTGAACATAGATAACCCAGCAGCTTGTACATGCTGTTTCATAGACAGTAGTGACATCTTCAGAGCTTAACTGACTAGTGTTCAAATTTATTCATAGTCAAACAAAAACCCCAACATATTTCCACCTTGATGAAAGCTTCAGTTCTGATTGGCTGTTGATGTACAACATTATGGTTTCTCTGATCCAGATTTAGAAAAATAGCCAGATCAAGCTGACTGTCTACCTTTCCAGGTACATCTGGGGTGTACACGGTGTAAAACAGCTCCCATGTGACCATGGGACACAAAAACATGCAATACCAAACTAGTTCTGGTAGCACTTCCTGGCAATTTCTAAATCCTAGTATCCTTTGCCATTATCACTTATTCTTATGTGCCTGTACCTTATGCTATAAAAGATTCTTCTACCTAGTTTTTGCAGTGAACAATCAATTATACCACAGTAAGGCTCCATGCACACTGGGCATTTTAATAAGGCTGGTAATGTTAGCTGTGTAAAGTCACGTTAAAAATTTGAGTTTTCATCATTTTTGCATTAGCGTTTAGTGGCGTTTTTTCACGTTTTTGCGTTTTTTAGCATCCAAAAATGCTAGTTTGCTGTGTTTTACCACATTGTTCAGCGTTAGAGTATTTTTATAGCTAAAAAAAACTCATCTAGAAACCCACTAGGGTTTCTGATTACAGTCTATGTGTGCACGGACACAGGATAACACGCTGGGGGGTTTACTGGCTGTAGAAAAAAACATCAAAAGCCAAAAACAGCAGCGGTAAAAACGTCCAGTGTACATGAGGACTAAGACTCAATGACATACCTCTTATCACGTAACACAACATACTTATCCTGCTAAAAATCTTTTCTAGTCACCTCTTGACCTGTCGAACAGTTAAAAATTGTCTTAAAGTGGTTGTAAACCTCAGGCATGAAATATGAAAAGTATATCCCCCTATAGTGTGTACGTGTCACAATCCAGAGCAAGGGATCAAGTGCAGCATTTCTGTCTGCGCACTCTGCTATAAGCATGAGCCCCTTTTGACAAGTTTTCTTGACACCAAAAATGGTGACAGGAGGGAGCTTTAGCTGATTGACAGCCTCAGCTCTGTTTATGTGGGAAAGAGGGTGTGTTGTTCCCTTCCAATCAGCTCTCAGAGCTCTCCTCACTGATGTAACTTCAGCTCCACGGCCCCTGCTTTTCAGAGCTGAGAGATCCTGTGTAAATTCTGCACTTTGAATGGATGTTGGGAACAGATGGCTGTAGAAAACAGGTACAAATAGGGGATGATTTGTTTCATCTCTGTATATCATCTAAGGCCAGTCACTTCACTGGGTATATGTAAGGGTTTACAATAACTTAAAACGGCCTAAATATGAGTCTATAAGAACAGCTGTTAATGCAGTGCTGGACTGGGACAAATTAGCCCTAGCAGACCACACAGATTAATGTATCTATGCTCATATTTTGGTATGGCTGCTGAGCAGAGGCCACTTGCAGAGTTCTGCAGGATGAAATTTGTCAGAAGACTGACAAATGCCAGAGCTGCTGGTTTGCCAATCCAGGCATGTTAGCAATGAAAGCCTTGTAAGAATTAGACAACTTTAGACATGTTATTTTATAATGCAAACAGTCTATGTTCCTTTCTTTATAAAAAAAAGTTTTTAGTTTAAGCCATTTTATCTTACAGTGGGAACAGTCCCCCCAAGGAGCACTCTGCCAGGGAGGGTTTTCAGGGACAGAAAGAATGTAAAACAGCCAACTGCAACACTCATGGGAAATAACAGGGCCACATTATGCTACACAATCCCAGGATACTATCTTGTGGTTTCACTATTGTCACTCAGGGCCAGTTTATTGTCCTTCAGACTTTGAATTCTGCAGTTTTGCAGAAGGAATACACTTTATGTTGCTGAACTATTTTGGCAACATTCCTATGATCCCTTGCTACTGAAAGTGTGAAACTTGCTTTGTAGTCACATGACTATTCTATAGGATAAAAAATTGCTGAACATACCTGGACCCTAACTGTGCATTCTTTACCAGAACCCCTTGCTACTGGAGGCATGGAGCAGATGCTTCTTAGTCAATTGACTATCATATGGGGAGATGAAATTGAACTTCTTACCCCTGTATTCTTTACGACAGTCCCCATTTGTGGGTCACAGTGTTGGTGCTTTCATTTTGTTGGCTGCTCAACAGTGTCCTCTGGGCACCTAGTCCTTCACTGCTATTAATGCACTTTTAGGACAGAAAGAGGTGCTAGACACTGCGGGTAATTTACAAAAACTGGAGCTTAAATCTTGAGTTTAAAAAATGCTATGTTTACTAGGTCAACCAATTAGATTCTTTAAACCATTTGAAAGAATAAAATGTATTGGCTATATTCGTACTGATTTTCATTATGATGTTTGCAGATCAGCCCTACTATGTGCATTCTTGCAATGTGCTTTAGATATGACATGATATTTTTTTTTAATGTATAAATAGCAAGTAAATGGACCCAGTATCTATTTTCTTTTAACATTCTAGACCAGAGTACTACTAGTAACAGTATTCAGCAGATTATTAGGAGAGGCAGAGATGCTGTGCTTATACAAATAAAATAACATTTGCGGTATCAGTTTGATTACCACCTTTGCTGAATGTGTGGCCTGCATAGTAAAAAGATGATTATATATATTCTTTAATTGTGTTAAGAGCTGCAAAAAAAGATACGTGTGATTATGGAAAAAAAAGAAATAAACTGAATCTGTTATGTGAAGGTTATAAAATAGAGCTGTCCACGTAGAAGGATTGTGATTCTTGTATCCTTCCTAGTCACTGTCGCTTCTCTCAGCCAGCACGGCATCAGTGTCCTCTGTGATTTGCAGAAGGGAATGAGGATCAGGGCTTTCTCCTCTCAACAGCTCGGTTCCCTCTTCTTCCACTTCATCTCCTCCAACTTCCATCATTTCTGTGGCCTGAACCTCTACTTCACCCTCCCTGATTTTCTTCACATAGAAAGTAAAGGGAGGCACCTTGTAGACAGCGGTTTTGGAACGGGCATAGACAGGATGGTCAGGTGTAAAGGACTTTTTAATCTTGTCCCTGGAGGTCTTTATCTTTTCTCGTCTCTCGTTTGTCACAATCTTGGTTCCAAGCTTGGTCATCTTCTTCTCAAGGGTATGCCTGGTCTTCTCCAAGTTCTGCTTGGTCTTTTCCAAATTCTCTTTAGTTTTAACCTTGGTTTTTTCCATTTTTTCTTTTGAGAAAGCTTTTTTTATGTCATCAACTCTTCTCATTCCGCTTTTCTTGATACGTTCAGCTCTAGACTCTTCAATGATTTCTTCCACCTCTACCTCTTCATCAGAGGACAGCTCGATATGATCTTCTTCTCCTTCCTTATTCTCATTTTCTTGAACTTCTCCTTCTATTTCCTGCTTCTCTGTGTCTTTCAAAGACTTGCTGATGCTAAGCTTGGCAGGCAATTTCACTTCATCCTGAATAAAGCAAATACAAAAATAAAGGTAAGGCAACAAATAAAATAGTAAGAGTAAAAATATTAGGCATATTATATTGAAACTGTTGGGTAAATCTGTGACTAAGAAAGATCTGGAAACCATAGATGTAATAACAGCATAAAAAGCCAGTCTTGCACCTTCAAACATTCAAAATACTTTCACATTATAATCAGCATATATTTATTCGATAGAAGTACAATGCCAATGGCAACTACAGTGCCAAGAAATTATGCATATATACATGGAGAATCTTGCGCAGTTATAAATGTATGATTACTATATTCATGCACTGTTGTGTAGGATAGCTGCAGCTTGAAATATTTACTATTAATTTAGTTTTTTTCATTTATAATTTATTTTGGTAGCACAGGTTTTTGAGTTTTTTAGTTTTTACAGTGTAAAGAAATAGTTGTTCAGACAAGTTCCCTTTAAAAAGTGCTTGTGCTCTTTATGTGGCCACCCAGAGAGCCATTTACAACAGAGGTAGGCGAAAATAGCAAAAATCTACAAATTGTATTTAACCACTTGTCTACTGGGCAGACCAATATTCAGCTTTCAGTGCTGTTGCACTTTGAATGGCATGCAACACTGTACCCATATGAAATTTTTATCATTTTTTTTTCCATACAAATAAAGCTTTCGTTTAGTGGTATTTAATCACCACTGGATGTTTTATTTTTTTTGTTAAACAAATGAAAAAAGACAGGAAAATGAGAATTTTGTTTTTCTTAGTTTCTATTATAAAATTTTGCAAACAGGTAATTTTTCTCCTTCCCATCAGTGCAGCCTCATCTACGCACATCAGTGAACTGATAGGCAGCACTGATGGGCACTGATGAGGTGGCACTGATGGGGAGCACTGATGAGGTGGCACTGATGAGCACTGATGAGAAGGCACTGATATGCAGGACTAACGGGCACAAATAGGTGGCAATGATGGGCACTGATAGGCAGCACTGAAGGACACTAATAGGCAGCACTGATGGGCACTGAATGGCAGCACCAATGGACAGAGATTGGCAGCACCAATGGGCACTGACTGGCAGCACCAATGGGAACTGATAATCAGTGCCTGATTATCAGTGCAGATGTCTGTTTTCACACTTGCCAGTTATCCGCAGTACTTTCACAGCGTGAGGAAAATACTGCCGATAACCGGAAACTGTGCTTATATGTGATTAGCCCTTTAACCTTGACATGTGATCAGCTGTATCTGAAGGACACAGTGATCACAAAGAGCACCAGGTGCGCACTGCAGGAGGGCGCGGATATGGGAGGACATCATATGATGCCCTCCCAGAACTGGATGACTGCACTGTAGCTGCCATTCTGCTAAAAGCGTGGTCAACAAATGGTTAACCAATTGACCCCCCCCCCCCCCCCCCCAGGCTAATTCTGACATTTCTCACATACATGTAAAATCAGCATATATTTACAGTATGTTGCACGATATTTGTGCAGCGGTTTATAAAATGCAAATTTTCAGGAAAAAATACACTTTAATTAATTTTAGTGCATGCAAGCACAATGTAATACCCTTTTTTTTGGCAAAAATATAAAAAAATTATATTATGCTGAGTAAACAGATAACTAACATGTCATGCGTTAAAACTGTGTACGCCCGTGGAAGCGACAAACTACGGTACATAAAATTCTCCATAGGCGAAGCTTTAAAAGCATTTACAGGTTACCAGTTTAGAGTCACAAACGAGGTCTGGCACTAGAATTATTGTTCGCAGTGATACCTCATGTGTGAGGCGATTGCGGTTTACATATGCATGCAGGACCTACATGGGTGTTCGCCTTTGCACGTGAGTATTTTTTTTTTTTACTTTTATTATGATGAACAACATCCCTTGTGATGAGCCACGACAGGTCCTCTTTATGCAGCGATCTGGGGTCTTTTAGACCCCATATCTCACCTCTGGCCTCCAAAGCAGCTGACATAACCGAGATCAGTTTGATTGGTTGCTTTACAAGCCAGTAATTGCTTGTAAGTAAATAAACTAAACTGGACGTAACAAAATCCTTGTTGCTTCCAGTTTGTGAAGTCAAGAGGGGGAGGAACAACATCACTTCCTCTCCCTCTGTCCAGTGCAGCCAATGCTGCCAGTCGGATTGGTTCCAGGCTACCTGGATGGGATAGCCCAGGAAAGGCCGGGAGAGGTGGGGGAGGGACCCCCTTCCACTACCTGTGAAAGTGATCAAGCAGCTGTATAGCTACTAGGATTACTTTGGCTGAAAAAAAAACTGTACTGGAATTATGGTTGTAGCCTCAGCCATGATCCTAGTATAACCGCTTCAATACGAGGCTGTATATATGCGTAAAGTGGTACTGAGGTGATTATAGAAAAACTACAGGAATTACTTCACTAATTAAAATGTGGTGGCCTACAATGGCATAAGTCCAACAAGGTGTATGCCACTTTCTGGACTTCTCTTTTATTTAGAATTCCCAGTTTTATGGAGCACCAAGAATACAACTATCGCTATACTTTCAGAGCTCCGATGCTGGACTTTAAGGTCTGAGATACTAAAGCTGCAGAGTCATCTGCAGATGCTCTGCCCACCCTTCCTCTCCTCTTACCCAGTTATGGAACCTTTTGCAATATATTAAACTACGCACAAAATACAAAGCCTTTTGTGAACTGACACCAGAGGGAGGGTCGTGCAGTCACATAGCAGACAAGTCTCTCCTGCCAGAGCAGAGGGAGTGTAATGATAGCTGTACTCCTGGTACTCAGTCAATTGTTAACCACTTGCCGACCACAGATAGCCAAATGATGGCTACACTGTGGCTGGCCAGTTCTGGGAGGGCGTCATATGACATCCTCCCACAATGTGCTCTCCTGAGTGCCCCCAGCGAGCTCCATGACCGCTGTGTCCTACGGACACAGCTGATCACATGATGTGGTAAAAGGCCAATCACAGCGGCCTTTTACCACGTGATCAGCCATGTCCAATGACACGCTGATCACCGGGAAATGCAATTGCCGGTTCTCGGCTGCACTGTCCTCACGCTGTCAGAGCATGAGGAAAGTACTGCCGAGAACCGGCAGTTGTCAGAGCAGGGATCGGCACCAATCAGCAGGGCACTGATGATCAGTGCCCTGATGATCGGTGCCCAGCAGTGCCACCCACCAGTTCCGCCCACCTGTGCCCAGCAGTGCACCCACCTGTACCTAGAAGTGCGCCCACCTGTGCCCAGCAGTGCACCCACCTGTGCCACCCAGCAGTGCCACCTACCTGTGCCCAGCAGTGCCACCCACCTGTGCCCATCAGTGCCACCCACCTGTGCCCACCCACATGTGCCCACCAGTGCCACCCACAGTGCCTATCAGTGCAGCCCAGCAGTGCTGCCAGTCAGTGCCCAGTGGTTGTGCCAGTCAGTGCCCAGCAGTTGCGCCAGTCAATGCTTAGCAGTGCCACCTATCAGTGCTGTCTATCAGTGCCACCTATCCGTGATACCTCATTAGTGCTGCCTCTCAGTGCCTATCCGTGCCACCTCATTAGTGCTGCCTACCAGTGCCCATCAGTGCTGCCTATCAGTGCCCATCAGTGCTGCCTCATCAACGCACATCAGTGAAGGAGAAAAATTATCTGCTTGAAAAAATTTATAATAGAAACAAAGAAACTTTTTTTTTTTTTTTGCACTTTTTTTGTTTATAGCGCAAAAAGTAAAGTGCCCAGCGGCGAATAAATACCACCAAAAGAAATCTCTATTTGTGAGAAAAAAATTATAAAAATTTCATATGGGTACAATCTTGCATGACCACGCAATTGTCAAAGTGCGACAGCGCTGAAAGCTGAAAATTGGCCTGGTAAAGAAGGGGGTATAAGTGCCCGGTAGGCAAGTGGTAAAATAAAAGATGAGCACAAAAGGTGGCATACACATGGCCAGCACATTTTAAATAGTGAAGTAATTCCTGGAGTTCTTCTTTAAGGCTTTGAATATTGAAAATACAGGTGCATCACAATAAATTAGAATATCATCAAAAAGTTATTTTCAGTAATTTAATTCAAAAAGTTAAACTCATATATTATATAGATTCATTATACACAGAGTGATATATTTCAAGCATTTCCTTCTTTTGATGATTATGGCTTACAGCTAGTGAAAACCCAAAATTCAGTAACTCAGAAAATTATATTATTACATAAAACCAATAAAAAAAAAATAGATTTTTACAACAGAAATGTTGGCTTACTGAAAAGAATGTCAATGTACAGTATAGTATGCACTCAATTAATCAGGGCTCCTTTTGCATGAATTACTACATCAATGTGGCGTGGCATGGAGGAGATCACCCTGTGGCCCTGCTGAGGTGTTATGGAAGCCCAGGTTGCTTTGATAACGGCCTTCAGCGCGTTTGCATTGTTGGGTCTTGTGCCTCATCTTCCTCTTGACAATACCCCACATATGCTCCATGGGGTTTAGGTCAGGCGAGTTTTCTGACCAATCAAGCACAGTGATACCATGATCATTAAACCAGGTATTGGTACTTTTGGCAGTGTGGGCAGGTGCCAAGTCCTGCTGGAAAATGAAATCAGCATTTCCATAAAGCTGGTCAGTAGAGGGAAGCATGAAGTGCTCTAGAATTTCCTGGTAGAGGGCTGCGCTGACTTTGGACTTGATAGAACACAGTAGACCAACACCTGCAGATAACGTGGCTCCCCAATTTATCACTGACTGTGGAAACTTCCCACTGGACCTCATTCAACTTGGATTTTGTGCCTCTCCACTCTTCCTCCAGACTCTGGGAACTTGATTTCCACATGAAATGCAAAATTTACTATCATCCAAAAAGAGGACTTTGGACCACTGAGCAACAGTCCAGTCCTTTTTCTCCTTAGCCCAGGTAAGACACTTCTGGCATTGTCTCTGGTTCAGGAGTGGCTTGACACAAGGAATGCAACAGCTGTAGCCCATACCCTGGATAAGTCTGTGTGTGGTGGCTCTTGAAGCACTGACACCAGCCATAGTCCATGCCATGTGAATCTCCCCCAATTTCTTGCATGGACTTTGCTTCACAATCCTGTGGTTATCCCTGTTGCTTGTGCACTTTTTTCTACCACACCTTTTCCTTCCACTCAACTTTCCATTAATATGCTTGCATACAGCACTATGAACAGCCAGCTTCTTTAGCCATGTCCGTTTGTGACTTACCCTCCTTGTGGAGGGTGTCTTCTGGACAAATGTCAATTCAGCAGTCTTCACCATGATTGTGTAGCCTACTGAACCAGACTGAGAGACCATTTAAAGTCTTAGGAAACCTTTACAGGTGTTTTGAGTTAATTAGCTGATTAGAGTTACACCATGGGGTTCATTTAATAAAGCTAGTTTACTCAGAATCTCGTGTGCTTCTACATAGACAATTCCAGGTTTTATTGATAAAGCTTAACTGAACAAGCTGAAGGTAAATGCTGATTGGCTCCCATGCACAGCTGCACCAGATTCTGAGTGAACCAGCTTTAGTAAATAAACCCCCATGAGTCTACAATATTGAACTTTTTCACAATATTCTATTTTTCTAAGATACTGAATTTTGGATTTTCACTAGCTGCAAGCCATAATCATCAAAGTTAAAAGAAATAAATGCTTGAAGCATGTCACTTTGTGTGTAATGAATCTATAATATATATACGTTTCACTTTTTGAATTGAATTACTGAAATAAATTAACTTTTTGATGATAACTCTAATTTATTGAGATGCACCTGTAAATGTAAAATGTTAATTTAGTCAGCTCTGTGTACAAGTAGAACAGGTAGATTATATATAAAATAGTATATACCATAGATTGCAATTCTGAGCAAAGCTTCTCCAAAATAGTAAGGGTTGATCGGCACAACAGGGAGATAATTATACTTTATATTAAAATTTTTTCAAAGCCTCTGCCTCACCCTAACTAAATAATCTTGGTGAGTATGAAGCTTAACAAAAGTATCAGTTTTTGATTACTGGAACATACTACAATTTTGTCAGATTGTAAACGTTTCCTGTAGGTTGCCCTTGGCATCACAGTCTTCACATCCTAGTAATACAGAATTGAATGTGTTAAATTAAAGCCCCACCTCATGCAGGCTGTGGTATGTGACACACATTCTGTTTGTTCATTAGTTTAAACTTCAGCCGGATTTACACAATTTTCTGCAGTCCATCTCCGGCTGCCAATGGAATCATTTTATTTTTTTCCATGTGCATATTATTTTCCATCTCCAGCACTGTGCCAAAGATCTCAATAAACATACAAGACTTAGCTTTGTCCCACACAACGTTAGGAAAAAGTATAAGACTTGGTTGTTATATTCTGTAACATTTAAAACTTGATTTCAGCTCCATATCAACACAATCAGGTTTCTTTGATAAGGCTAAATTCACATTCTATTGTCTTGACTACTTTAAACCCATGAAAGTTAAAACTGGTTGCCATTGGTTATGAAGCCTGTATAAACCTTAGCTGTATCTTTTTTGCCAATACAGTGCTGATTTCCAGATTCCCCAAGGATAAAGTCACACGGCCATTTTTACCATTCATTATCTTGCCAGGCAATAGTATTTTAAACCAAAAACAACTGTATATTTTTCAGAAACCTAGAGAAATAAGCTTTTGGCTATAGGTGGCAGGAAGAAAACATCTTCTTTAATAGTAATTTCCAGTCATCAGCAGAATCGTGTTCATCGCACATAAGCTTAATTACACCTCATTTGCAATATTCTAAGCTAGGTTAGGAACATTAAAACATGATGGAGGTGACCACAGCAGAGGGTGTTGTTTTGGAAAAATGATTTTAAAAGCTCCAGTGATAGAAATATGTCCCTGGATGCAATGACACATTTTGAGTTGTTTTGTAGCATTGGAAGAGGAATCCTGCAACCCCATCGTACACTGAGCCTGGGTTCACACTGATGCAATGCGGAATTCGCAGCAGTTTCTGTGAGAATCCCACACTGCATCACAATCGCACCCCATTTATGCGAACAGCTGCAGGTGTGTATGTTAATGACATCCTGAAATTTGTCCACAAAACGCGGTGAGATGTGCAGAATCAGATTGCATGGGTGTAAAATACCCTTGCGATCCGATTCTAGTGTGGACCAAAAGGGTCCTGCACCTTTTTGGTGCAGATGCGGTGCGATTTGAGCCATACAATCGCACCGCACAGAATTCGCATGTGATTTGCCCAGGAATGTGGTGCGGTTCCTGTGCAAATCACATGCGATATGTCGCACCACACAAGTGTGAACCCAGGCTGAAACTGAACTTTTCTTTGAATAAAAGCAGCCAAGGGTGCCCTGAAAGGAAACATTTGGCAAGGTTCATTTTTCATAACATGTTACACCCATATTCATATGACCGCTCCCCCCCATCCTTGTTTTGACAGCTATCGGGGGATCTTCTCCACGCTCGCTATCAAATTTTTAAAAAAGAGGCCGTGCGGGGCTCCACACACATGGCTGCGTCACTCATTCAAGCGGCTGTCCTTAGCGGCTGTCAGCTTGTACTCCTCAATGAACTTCCTGTCAGAATATCTGCTTGATCGTACATCCCGTATGGCAAGTAGATATTCTGACAGGTCTGCAGGAGAACTGCATGGCATCAGCAATCTACCAATTGCTGGTACAATGCTTTCCAGGCTCCTGCAGACAAAAATAATAAACGCACATTTTTTTACCTCCAAAAAAATGTGCATTTATTATTTTTTTCTAAAAGGTGAACTTAAAAGTGGCTGTAAATCCTTACATATACCCAGTGAAGTGATTGGTCTCTGGTGATGCAGAGATGAAACCACTGTAGCATGTAGTAGCAGTGTCCCAGAGGGAGCCTGGGAAAGTTCTGTTCAGAGTTTATACGTCTTCCAGGTTCCTTTCATATACATTTGGGGATTTTTGGTCCATTGTCCAGTCAGGGCTGGATCTAGCCTGTCTGATGTGGGGGTGCAATAAAAAATGTCAGGGGGGCAGAGGATGGGATGTCAACAGGGCAGTGTACAGGAGGTCAGCAGGGCAGAAGATAGGGTCAACAGTTTGTAGGGGTCACTGCTGGCAGGGCAGAGGACAGGAGTCACTTTTGGCAAGGCAGAGGACAGGAGTCACTTTTGGCAAGGCAGAGGACAGGAGTCACTGCTGGCATGACACTTAGCAGAGCTCCTTCTTCCATT